AAATTATCAGATCTTTTGAATGGGGTATCATGAGTGAGAAAGGAGAAATTTAATAATAATTTGGGGATTTATAGAGAAGAGATGGAAAATATTCTTAATTTTGGTAATTTGGAGAACGTATTTCACATCATGCCTTTAGACAGTTATTGAACCTGGAGGCCAGCTGCTGCTTCATCTTGTTCACTGAGTTAACTGTTTTGTTATTGTTCAGTCATTTCAGTCATGTATGACTCTTTGTGACCCCATCTGGGATTTTCTTGGCAAGGACCCTGGAGTGGTTTGCCATTTCCTTCTCTAGCTCATTTTACAGATGAGGAGTTCAAGTAAATAGGGTTAAGTGATTTGCCCAGGGTCACCCAGCTAATAAGTGTCTGAGGCCACATTTGAACTCACGAAAATGAGTCTTCCTGCTTCCAAGCCTCTATCCACTGTGCCACCTAGCTAGCTGCCTATGTGTTAATTACTCTCTGGTATTTGTGGAGCCATCTTTATGCAGCGCAATTAAAAATAAATTGAAGACAAGAAGGGAATTTTTAATTTCACTCCTAAGTGAACAAGTTCTTTCCCTTTCTCCTCAAATTTTTCACCAAAACTAAAAGTTATGGATGACTCTTGCCTTATTGAAATATGGGGGCTAGCACAGAGAAAAACAATTAATTACTTTCTGGCTTGCAGACATGCCTACAGTTAGTGAACTGAGTGATTGTGCCAAACTTATATGGAAGTGCATAGGTTCTAGGGGAATGCAAACAACCAGTTTCCATACAAATTCTTGGTTGTGACTAGAGATAAAAGGGGCAAAGCACAGAGATGGAGGACATGACTAGCTTAGAGGAAGGGGAATCCTTTTTTTTTTTTGGCAAGACAGTTGGGGTTAATTGACTTGCCCTGGGTCACACAGTTAATAAGTGTCTATGTCAAGTGTCTGGTTTGAGATGAAATTTGAACTCAGGTCCTCCTGATTCCAGAGCCAGTGCTCTATCCACTGTACCACCTAGCTGCCCCCGAAGGACAATTCTTCCATTCATTCATTTAACCAGTGTTTCATGTATTAATACATCTTGAGACATGTCTGACCCAAAGAGGATACATGTAGATTTACTCTACACAAACTTATATATCCTTGGGAAGTATAATTTGTCCCAAACTTGTTTGTTTTTGCTCACCTGAAACCCTGTCAGAACAGATCCTTCATATACTCCATCAATTCTAGGTAGATTCTAGAATTCATCTATCTACTGATGGCTTCTGCTGGGCACAAGCAATCCTCAGCAGGCCTCAAAGCAGAAGACTCCCAAAGAAGCAAAGTGCAAGGAAGGCCATTCTGTATAGCCACCATGTCATTTTCTTCCTGGCTGCGCTTCTGACTCTCTGGGCTTCACCACCATGACTCACTTGCCTTCTCACTCTGAAACTTTTCTGAGCTCCTGGAAGCTTGAAAAACCTTGAACATCCCTATGAGATGCCAGCTCCTTCTGCCTTCCAGTTGTTGATTATAGACCTGGGATGGCCATACTTCATTCCTCTACCAATTGTACTTCTGACTCTCTGGACTTCACTGTTTCTCCCAGGTATCTTCACTTCCTCCTCCCCTCTCAACTCTTCAGCTCCCTTTTGTGTATTGTCCCCCATTAGAATGTAAGTTCCTTCAAGGGAGAAATTGTATTTCTTTTTGGTTGTATTTGGGTCTCCAGAATTTAGTACAATGTCTGGCCATTGTAAGTGTTTAGTAAATGCTTGTTACTTTTTTTCTACCATATGAGTTAACAACACTGATCAAATAGCTTACTATATGCCCCACACTGTACTAGGTGATAGGGAAAATGACTTGACCTGTGATTTTCATTGGAATAGGGAACTCCAGGAGAAGAAAACTCTTTTTACCAGAACAGAAAAGCACCTTCTTTGCAATTTAGAGTCTTAAAGACTTGCCTAGAGCATGGAGAGGTTATTTGCCCATGGTTGCACAGTCAGTCTGTGTTGATCAGTACTTGAACTCAAGACTTCTTCACTCCGAGAATAGCCCTCTATCTACTATGTTGCCTCCCTGTACTAAGTGATAGGTGGCAATACTAAGAAATACTTTCCTATTTAGCCAGTTCTGCTGCTACATCTCTATTCCACACAGCTTTTCCTTTACAACTGGAAAACAAGAGGAGCGGCCCTCTTTTGGGGCTTTTTGTAAGACCTGGAGTACTGAGTCCACCATAGGACTGAATACAGAGATAAGGAGTTCCTAAGATTTAAGGCTGGAAAGGACCTTCTAGGTCAATTAGTCTATTCCCCTTAGTTTACAGATGAAATCCCGAGATTTGGAGAACATAGATTTAAGAGTTATAAGGCATCTTTCAGATTGTCTGGGTCACCTTTCTTATTTTAGTTAAGTACATTGCCCAAGGTCACTCAGGTAGTGATAAGTAATAAGGGGCCAAGAGAAGTGTTCCTAGACAAAGTAGCCAAGGGTATAAAGCCTTCCCTGTCTTAAAAAAGGCTCCAGCTCCTAAAAGAGACAGAACTGTAAGTTTCTTCATTTCTTTCTCCTTCCTTGAATCTTGAATGAAGCTAGGGATTCCCTAAGGAGGTAAGGAAGGAATGCTTTCCATGCATGGGGAACAGCCTGTACAAATAAATGCACAGAGTCTGGAGATGGAATCTTATACCTGAAGAACAGCAAGTAGACAGTTTGGTTGCAACATATAATGCATAAATCATGCAATAAGTCTTCAAAGACAGATTGATCTGAAATGGCAGAGGATTCTAAATGCCAAACAGAGGAATTTACATTTTCTCTTAGGAGCAACAAAGATCCACTGGAATTTCTTGATCCAGGGAGAGTGACATGGCCAGGCTTATATTTTAATATTGATTTGTGTGGAGAATGGATTAGAAACTTGAAGCAGAAATATCAGTTAAGAAGCTATTGCAATAGTCCAGGAAAGAGGTAATAAGGGCCTGAACTAGAGTGCTGGTCCTGTGAGTGGAGAGAAAGGGACAGATGCAAGAAATGTGGTGGTAGGCTGACGAGATTTGATAACTGAGTAGCAGGTGATTTTGAGGTTGCAAATCTGGGTGATGGCAAGGATGGTGATGCTCTCAATGATAATAAGGAATTCAGAACTGAGGGAGGATTGCGGAAGCAGAAATGAGGTTTTTTTGGGTGTGTTGAGTTTAAGATGCGTATGGAAATTAGTTAAAAATGTCCAATTCAGCTGGTGCTGAAAGATTGGAGCGCAGGATAGAAACCAGGCTGGATAAATAGGATGGATATATCATCTGCATAGAGATGATAACTGAACCTATGAAAGGATCTAGAGAGGAGGGCCCAGGTCAAAGGCCTGGAGTCTACCCATACATTAGGAGTAGGATATTGATCACCATCTAACAAAGGAGAATGCCAGAGATTGTTGGAGGAGAATCAGGAAAGATTAAAGTAGTGAAAACCCATGGAAGAGAGCTAATGGCAAAGAGATTTCAAATCCAGAGACTTATTCCACATTCAGCACTCTTTTGACTATAAAACAGAGAGAAATATGAAAAACTCTGATCCATTTTTTTTGTCAGAACTGAAATCACTGATTTAAAGTTTGAAATATACTCCAAAACCTCACATAGCAGAGAAGGAAAATTAAAAACTCTCAAAGGTTGAGTGACATACCTACGGTCATATAGTTACTCTGAGTGATAGAGCTTTAGATTAAGTAGAATCCTAGCCCAAGAACCTCTATTTTTTTTTACTGTGGTATAGAGGCAAGGGTACTGGATCAAGAGTCAGAGCACCTGGGTTCAAAGCCTGCCTTTGTAATTCTGCTCCCTGTGTGATCTTAGCTAGTCATTTAACTACTCTGGGGCTGTTTCCTCCTCTGTAAAATGAGGGGTTGGATTAGATGGCTTCTAAGGTCCCTTCCAGCTCAATCTATAAACCTAGGGAACTCTTTAGGCCTCATTTCCTCAACTATAAAATAAGGAGGTTAGACTTTCTAGCTCCCAATCTACGATCCCGTGAATGTCTTTGGGCCTCATTTCCTCATCTAAAAATTAAGGGGTTGTACCAGATGGCCTCCAAGATCCTTCCTGGCTCCCAATCTATGGTTCTATGATCTCTACCTTACGCATTCAGTCTCTTGTTGGGCTTCCTAAGTCAAGAGAGACTACATTCTCTCCATCACTATTCCACCTTGTCCCAACTCATTAAAAGTGTAAGAAGATATACTTAATATGAATATATAAGTAGAGCCTATATCAGATTACAGTATGCTGTCTTGGGGAGGGGGAGAAAATTGGAAACTCAAAATTTTATGGAAGTGAATGTTGAAAACTAGAAATAATATAAATTATTTTTAAAAAGAAAAAAGTGTAACAAAAAATTGGGAAAAAAAAGGAAATCAGAAAGGAAGAATAGGTGGAAGAGAAAAGAAGGAAAAAATGAAGGAAAGGAGAAAGGAAGGAAGAATAGATGGAAGAAAAGAAGGAAAGGAAAAAGGAAGGGGAAAAGTAAGGAAAGGAGAAAGGAAGGAAAAAGGAAGGAGAAAGAAAAGTGAAAGGAGAAAGGAAAGTGAAAGGAAGCAAGGAAAAAAGGAAGGGAGGGAGTAAGGGAAAGAAGGAGGAAGGAAAAGAGGGAGGAAGAAAGAGAAAAGGAAAAAACAGAAGAGGAAAAGGAAGAGAGGATGGAAGGAAGAAGAAAAAGGAAGAAAGGGGGAAGGAAGAAGGAAGGAGGGCGGGCGGGCGGACGAGCTCTTTCAGTAGCAGGAGAGCAGCTCCACAGCCAGCTCTCACTCACTGCCGTGGGGTTAGGGGGCAGGGAGCGAAAGGGGAATGTGGGATCGGACTCCTACCAGAGGGAGCTGGGTCTGAATGCGCGTGCGCAGGCGGGTCTCCGCGGCTGCGCCGCCCGGGCCGCCCCTCAGGCCGCCAATCCCGGCGCTCCCGGCAGAGGGAGCTGTGCGCCGGCCTCCTCTCCCGCTAGGCCCCGCCCGTCTCCCTCTTGCTTCGCCTGGGAGGGGTTCCCGGCTCAGTCCGACAGCTGCTTCCTGCCCCGACAGCCTACCCGCTCCCGGACACTCGCTCACTCCGCTCCCGGTCTTCCCGAGCCGACCCGTGCAAGGAAGCATCCCCGCGCAGTGCTGCGCCCGCCGTCACCTCCTCCCCCGCACCGCAGCTCCATAGGGAGGGCCTTGTCCGCAGCCTCTGCCCGCGTCCCGCCTGCCCCACCAAGCCCGGGCCATGCTGTCCTTCCAGTACCCCGACGTGTACCGCGACGAGTCCGTGGTGAGTGCGGCCCCGGCGAGCCCCGCCGAGGTGGGTGAGGGGGCATTCATTCCCGGGCGACGGCTCGAGGCTGCCATGCCGCCCCCTCCACTTTCTGCTCGTCCTTCTCCTCTTCCTCCTCTAGCCCCCCGCCCTCGTCCCCATCCTCCCCTTCCTCGTGCCTTTTGTTTGCGAGGAAACGTGCCGGGGCCCCCGGGCCGGAGGCGGTCCGCAAACCGGCTCTGGCTCCTGGGGAGCTCTGGGGCCACGCGCCTCCCGATGAGGCCGAGCGTTGGGTTGGGGGGAATCCCTGGCCCATTTCGGTCAAGGCCGAGGGGAGGTCACTGTCCCGGGAGGGCGCAGAGACTCATAAGCAGCTGCTTCTGATTTGGGGGTTAGCAAAGGAGCTTGCCTAAATGTGTGGAGAAAGTGTGGTTTTGAACAGTTGTAAAAGCGTGTGCGTGCGTGCGTGTCTGTGTATGTGTATGAAATAGTCTGCTAGATTTTAATCAGTTTTTTTAAAAAAAAAGATGCAAACCTCTTCAGTCTCAAAGTTTAAATTCTGGCCCCTCGCTGAAGTTTTCCCAAATGAGAGGTACAGGCAGTGAAGAAGCGATATACCGACAGAAACACAGAGAGAGAAAGCGATTTCCCTCCCCACTTTTCTCCTCCTCTCCCTTTCCTCCTCCTCCCCCTTCCTTCTCAACCCCTCTTTCTCCTCTGCTCTTTCCCCTCCCCCCCCAATCAGGGGTCTGTTTCCAAAGTGGAAAGCCTCACAGTTAACTCTGCTCCGAGTGAAATTAGAGGGTTGCCTTTTGAGATTCCCCTCACCTTCCCTGGAAGGATTTTGGCATTTTAGGTTTGGATTGGGTCCACAAGTTGTGTAGCACACTATGGAAGCGAGAACTAGGGTAGTTTTGGCTAAAGCTGTCAATCTAATCCAATCCAAAAAGCATTTATTACACACCTTCATTTTCAAGGTTCCAGGCTAGGTGGGGGGTGGATAAAAACAAAGCAAAAACTAGTTTCTTCCTCCAAGGAGTTTCTGGTGTACTGGGATGATAAGACAAATAGGTGTATACAGATAATTCAGGAGGGAAGAGAAGACGCTGACAGTTGAGTCAGAATCACTGTTACTTGGCAGTGGGTTTTAGGAAGTTCACTTTAAGTGATATTAATAACCAAATATGCCGTTTGAGCTTCCAAATTTTCTTTGAATCATTTGATGTCAGTCTTCCACTTTAAAGAAAATCTTGCTTTATTGTGGTTGAAAGTGTGCTAATATCTTAAAAGTAGTTGAATATATGTTTATATTTAAAATAATGTTTTCAGGTGACAACACATTTTGAGACTTGTTTGAACAGTGGTCATTTAGTAACCATGTTTTGGCAAGTTTCTTGACTGTTTTTTTTTAACTAGACCTAATGTTATAATGATCCAAAGAAAGCTGAAATACTGGAATTCCAATTAGCGTTTTCTTTTCCCTAAGGAAGTGGAGTTGTCTTATGAAGTGTACTTCTGGTGGTATCCAGATATGCATTCCACTTTCCTAAGTGGCTAAGTCCCTGGCTCTGATTTCAATCTCTTTCCTTGGTGACTTTGGCTAAAACGTTTTCAATGTTTGTATTTTTTTAATCTAGTATATTAAATATTATAAATTAATTCATTCAGGAATCATTTCTTGAGCTGAAGTGCAGAGGGGGGAATACAACAAATATGATCCTTGCCAAGAACATAGAATCAGGTAGAGGACATATAAGGAAGCAGTGGAAAGATCAGCAGTTTATTCAGTATGGGGAAATCATTGTGTAGAAACTCTTCACCCACACATATTATAACCTGTTTATGATTTAATTGAGAAATTCTAGGTTACCTGAGAAACAGAGGTTAAGACTTGATTAGAGTCAACTTAGAGCTTGAAAAAGCTCTTAAATGTAATCTGGTCCAACACTTTACTTCCAAGATCTTTTTCCTGCGCTAGGTGATGAAACAGGCTCAGAGAAATTATAACTTTATCCAAGTTACATAAATGGTAAATGGCAGAGTTATTATTTGAACTTAGATCTTGTAACTTCAGAGCCATTCTACTTTCCACCACACCATGCTATGTACAGTAGTCTGTAAATATCAGAGGAAGAGTTGAACTCAGATTTGCAAGACTCCTATCCACAATGCCAGACCAAACATGAATGTAGTAGAGGAGAGTATAATAAGTGCATGATAAGTACCAAGTTCTGTGAGTTCAGAGGAGAGAGAAAGAATCTTTTATGGGAAGATTAGGGAAGCTTTCATGGATTAGGTGGAATTTAAGCAGGCCTTGAATTTCAGTATTTGGGAATGTCTGGGTAGAGTGGCAGGAGGAGATCTTTTAATAGGTAGAAAATAGTAATAGTGGGAGAGAGAAGGTTCCTGGTACTTGTGAATGGTGATGTATCTTCATAGTAATTTATAATGTAATTATATATCATTATATAAGTGCCTCCCCAACCTGGAATTTAAGGTCTTCAGCAGTCTGGCTCCAACCTACTTTTCCATCCTCATTTCCTAGTCATCTTCATGTGTTTCATGTTCCAGCTAGAATGTCCCATTACCTATTCCTTGCTCTCCACTTGCCTTCCTACATCTATGCATTTGTGACACTTGTCACCCTGGACTAGAACAAATTCCCTCTTCGCTTCCATCTGTTGAAATCTTTCACTTTTTTCAAAGTCGAACTCAGTGACCACCTCCTATGAAGCTTTCCTTCATCTTTTCCTGGTTAAAAGTATTTTTTCTCTCCTCTTAAGAGCATTTTGTGTAGATTTCTTTTTTGCCTGTATTATAGTATACCTTCTTTGTGTACTTGTTATATCTTCCCTGTTAGACTATAAACTTTTTGAGGCATCAGAGACTCTTGTTTGTTAGAGGGTCTTTTTTTTTTTTATCATGGTGTACCTAACAATGCCTTGTGTATAGTGATTAACAAATGTTTTATAATATTAAATTTGTATTCTCATCCACAGTAGCTGAAAATATTTTGTATTTCTTTCAGGCTCACTTCACTGTGAGAGTGTGGGCATAATGGATACGTTTTCACTTGGAAACTGAGGCACTGGTGGTTGGCTTTCAATACTTTTGAATGCTCTTTTGAGTTTTGGCAAAGCAACATCATCATCATTTTGCACAAGGATTTAGAATCATGATTTTAGAGTTAAAAAGGATCCCAGTCATCATCTAATCCAAATTCCTCATTTGACAGGTGAAGAAACTGAGGTCCAGAGAATTGAAACAACTTGCCTAAGGTAGCACAGATTACACTGGCGAAGCTGGAATTTGAACCCAGTTCTAACTATGAATCTAAGTATGAATACCTAATTTTGCCTGGGTCTATCAAGTATAAATTGTAAACTCTCTAGGAGCTTATAGTCTAAATTAGACGACACTTATGGAGGAAGTGGCAGCTAGGTGGTACAGTGGATAGAGTGTTTGACCTGGAATCAGGAAAACCTAAGTTCAAATATGACCTCAGACATCTAACCAGCTGAGTGAACATAGGCGAGTCTGTTAACTTAGGCGAGTCTGTTAACTTCTGTGTACCTCAGTTTGCAAAATGAGATGTAATAAGAGCACCCACCTCCCAGGGTTGTAATGATAAAGTGTGATATTTGTATAGTAATTTGCAAACTTTAAATTGCTGTATAAATACTATTTTGTAACTATTAATACAAAAATACAGTTAAGATGATAAAATAAATATCAAAGAATGAATAGGTACCAGAGATTTTTCTGGAAAATTAGAATAAGCTTTATTCCTGGGTTTCTTTCAGGCTTCCACTCAAATCTCTGCAAGAGGCCATTCACAGCCCTCAATGCTAGCGCCTTCCTTCTGAGATTACCTTCAGTTTACTTTGTATATACATAGTTATTTGTCTGTTTGATCTCCTTGAGGGTTCAGGCTGTCTTTTGCTTTTCTTTATCTCCTCAACCCTTTCCACAGTGCCTGGTACATAGTGCTTAATAAATGTTTGTTGACTTTGGAAGATGCATTTCCATACAGGGTAAGAAGCACTGGGCGTTGAGAAAGTCAGTCTTTATCTTTCAGTTCTACATCAAAGTGTATTTTTTGGTGCAGAGATGGCCCTGGGTTCTCTAAGGCTATACCAGCCCCAGTGGTTTGGTTTTATGGAGGTAGAGAGACGTTGAGTGGATCCAGTGAATGATTCTGTTGCCTGAAAACTGGCCTAGTTAAATTCAGAGTCAACAGTAGTTTGGTGACAGTGTGACGTTTTCAGTATAGCAATTCAAAGACCATTTCCTAAGATGTAGAAGAATAAAGATTTTTATTGGTGGAGTGGGTACCCCTCCTTCCCCCACTGATGAAATTACTATCTGGGAAGTATAAGAGTACGTATCCCCTTACTAGATTATAAACTCTGTTTTATTTAATCTTTGTATTTCCTCTGCCCTGGATACCTATCGTTTAGCCACTTAATAAATGTTTATTTAGTTGAATTAATTACATCACCAACACAGAATAGAATATCTTGTCCATGCTTTGAGGATGTTATTGGGCCTGTGAAATGCCAAAACTTAATTCTAGCTCCACTATTAAGTCACTGTTTGATGCTGACCATAGCATTTCATTTTCAGTTTCTTTATAAGGAAGCATCTATTAATATGAGTGCTTCCCATGGATATTTGTGGGTTAACTATTGCCCAGTATAAATAATAATAATAATGATGTCATTACATTAGAAGGCTTTTAAAGATTTCTAAAAGGAGACATGCAGTTCAACAAGCATTTATTATATACCTACTTTATACCAGGGATTGTACTAAGCTCTGAGGATACATAGACAAAAATAAAAATAGCCATTTTGCTCAGGGAGCTTACCTTTTAACAAAGCCCTTCCACTCCATCCTTATCAAATCCCTTTTTTGTTCCACCAGGAACTGTTCCAAACTTTAAGTCTCAACTCTTTGACGCTCCTCTGTTTCCCTTTCCTTCACTGCTAAATTTCCTGAAAAACATGTTTATACCCAGTTCTTCCACTTCCTTATTACCATTCCCTCCAATCTGGCTTTTTCACCCATTACTCTACTACTGAAATTATTCTGTCCCAGAGATTATTAATGATTTCATCACCAAATGTGTTGGGTTTTTTTTTTCTGAAGTCTTTATTCTCCTTTAATACTTGATGAGTGTCTACTGAAATCTCTCTTTCTTTACTTTTAGCTATCACATACCCCCTTGGTTCTCTTTTATCTCTAACTATTCCTGTTTTCTCTTAGTTGGCTCTTTGTTTTCTCACTCATCCCTTAAAATGGATCTTCTACAAGGGTCTTTCCATGGCCTTTTCTGTACATACTCTTCCTTAGTAATCTCCAGGTCTTTAGCTACCACTACTATGCAAGTAACTAGAATTTCCAGTCCTGACTTCTCTTCTGAGCGCCATACCCACATCTCCTGTATCTTCTAAGATGTCCCACTGTAACCTCAAACTCATCATGTCTAAAACAAGGTCCCTTTAAAGTTACTCTTTTGATGTCACAATTTTTTTTTAAAGAACGGATTCCCCTTATCTCACTTACAATGGTAGAAGTTCAGGGGCTGCTCATATTGGTACAGAAATTTTGACCTCTGTTTTCCAGCTTTGGTCAGTTCACCTCTCTATAGGCAAACATGTTTTTCTCCCCTATCCCCATTTTGTGAAGGCTTTCATATTAATGCTGTTGTTTATCCTTCATTCTCAAAGAGGACCATGGCATCAGGAAGGTGCTTAATGCTGAGCTTAGTGTGGACATTTGATTGGTTTAGTCCACTGAAGCCAGAGCTCCCAAGCACAAGAAATCCACTATCCTTAGAAATACTGGTAGCAGGTATTATAGGTGAATGCTATTACATCTGGCTTTCATTATTTTCTTCAATGCTAGCTTCATTTTCCTCTTTCTCTGGTTACAACCTCGGGGCTATTCTTGACTCATTCTTTATCCTTAACTCATATCCATTCAGATACCTGGCAGCATCTTTCTCATCTGTGCCTTCCTGTCTCTTCTCATTGCCACCACCATACTTCAGGCCCTTATTACCATCAGCTTGTACTGTAGCTTTATAACAGGTCCTTCCTTTCTTCATTTCATCTCTTACAATCTTTTTTTTTTTCATTTCACTTTAGGTTAATCTTTTTCATGTAGAGGCCTGGTCATGTGTTGTCCCACCACCGATTTTACCCATATGCTATTCATTGAAATAACATTTTTTAGAAAATGCCTTAGAAATGTTTGAAAAGCACTCTGAATTAGAAGTTAGGAACCCTGAATTCTAGTGTATGTCCTGATACTAACTCTGTTAACCTTGAAGGATTTCATTTCTCTAAAAGATGAAGGGATTGGAACTAAGTAACTTAAATGTTTTTACAAGCTCCAGACTTTTTTATGCCATGGTTTCTTCCACAGTGAATTGCCAGGTAGAACTTTTAAAAATTAAAATTCTTAATTAAAAGGTTGTTTGTTTGTTTGTTTTTGCTGTAAGTATAAGGTATGTAGATTTTGCCAGGCTTATTGAGAGGAAAGAGTCAGCAGAGTTGCGTAGAGAATAGCAGGCTAGCCTTGGAGTCAGGAAGACCAGGTCCTGCTAACGTCATTTTATCCCTTAGTCTCAGGCAGATCTCATAAGTCTAGAAAATTTACTGTTCTTCATCAGTAGAGGAATCAGTCAAGCATTTATTAAGGCTCCACTATGTGCCAGACTCTGTGCTAAGCACTGGAGATACAAAAACAATACAATCTTTGCCCTCTACAAGCTTACATTTTAACAGGGGAGAGAACATTTATATCTATATATGTAAGTATATACAAGATAAATGTATAGGTATAGAAAAACAGATAAAGCAGATACAAAATAACTTTGTAGGGGAAGGCACTTGTAGCTATGGAGACTAGGAAAAGCTCTATGCAGAAGGAGATATGTCTTAATTGTTGAAGAAACCCAGAGATTTCAAGAAACAGAGTTGAGGAAGGAGAGTATTGGAGTCCTGGGGGACAGTCATTGCAAAGACATAGGAAGGAGAGATTGAGTATAGGTACAGCAAGTAGGCCAGTATATCTAGACTGTACAATGCATGGAAGGGAATGATGTGTTCGAAGGCTAAAAGGGTAGGATGCAGCCAGGCTGTGAAGAGCTGTAAATGCCAGAGAGGAGTTTATATTTGAGCCTATAGTCAATATGGAGCTACTGAGAATTATTAAGGAGGTGGGGGGGGTGCATTGACATGGTCAGTTGCACTTCAGCAAAATTACTTTTGCAGCTGTATAGTGTGTTGGAGTGGGGAGAAGTTTGAGGCAGGGAAACTAATTAGGATGGTATTGCATTAATTCATATGAGAGGTGATAAGAGCCTGAACTAAGGTTGTAAATATGTGTATGGAGAAGAGAGGGCATATAAGAGCAATGTTGTAGAGATAGAGAAATGGGAAATTTTGGCACCAGAGGGGTGAGGGAGAATGAGGAGTCAAGGATGACACTAAGGTTGTAATCCTTAGTAGGTAGAAAGATGGTGAGACCCTCAGCAGTAGTCATCAGTAAATTTAAAAGACTATATCACAAATAACAGATTACTTATGTAGTTTCTATAACTGAAGTTCACTGTAGTAGGGTTTATCCCTTCTCCCTTCCCTTCCTCACAAAATTAAGGAAGAAAATAATGAATTAATATGAAAATTAGCTTCAATAAAGGATTAGAAAGGTCTTAAAAGCTCCTCTTAGTTTCTTTGACACCCAGCAATGTGAGTGTGGTACAGGTTTTAATCTCTTCTTTATTTCTTATCTACTGATCGTCTAATGAGAGCATGATTTTCCATAATTAGATCAATGCTGATTATCACAAATATTGCTTTAAATGTTCTCCTAGTCCATTTATATATTTCTGTGCTTTTCGGGAGCACAGAGCATAAGAGGACGCTCTGTGGAAAGCCTGATAGAGCAACATGCCGTCTGTTAGATGTGAGACAGAACCTGCTGCTGATAGAGGAGGTGTTGTCACTCTTCTAATAGTGATCCATTTTGCTGAACAGGTGGGACCCAGTGTGCCATTTTGGTGGGATATGATTCTGACAGCGTGGTAGCTTGGGCTTCGTGTTCTGAGGTAGGCACTAGCCATCAGCTCAAGGTCAAACAATTTTGTAGAGGCAGTGGTGCCAGGACTACTGCCAGATTCCCAGTGTGCTGTGGTGAAAGCAGGTTCCAGTAGCTTCTCCCAACCTGGTGACACAATTACTGACTAGCAGCCAAACTTAACATTTTTCAAGCATCACTGACAGTGCCTAGTTGTTTTTTGAGGGGAGAGAGAGAGAGAGAGAGAGAGAGAGAGAGAGAGAGAGAGAGAGAGAGAGTGTGTGTGTGTGTGTGTGTGTGTGTGTGTGTGTGTGTGTGTGTGTGTGTATTTTGATGAGTGAATGTTTCTTTCTTAGTGTTCTAGAACAAACGATGTGAGCCAGGTGAAACAGTTGTTTACAGGCCAGCCAGCTTCCCCTCAATGAACTGAAGCCCTGTTGCAAAAGTAAGAAATGTTCATTGACACTGTGTTGGAAAGAAATGACCATTTCAAAGTGGTGCAAGCTGGAGAGAGTTTCTAATTTATTTATGTGTTTATGTATTTATTTTTTTTTACTGCTAAACCATTCCTTTAGGCATCATCTGCTAATATCCAGAAGGTTATATAGATGTCAGATCCCCATCACTCTTAAGAATTTCTCTCATTTCCTCTTAGGTAATAGTCTGAATGAGTAGTGTTTGGATGACTTTTTTTTTTTTTAAGAAAACACTTTACAGCTTCTACACAGAGACTCAAGTCTCTGAAATATTCTTCTACTAGATGGATTAGATTTTTCAGTTGGTGCCAAGAAAAGATGTGCCAGTGAACCAGCAGTTCGTGGCAACTTCTGTTTTCCTGTGTTTTAAACTCATTTTTTAGAAGCCTGATTACATGACATAATGTGGGCAAGTTTCCTTGCCATATCAGTCATTAATTAGCATGGAATGAAGAACAATAAAGTATGTCTGTGTGTGTTCATAAGTGTGTCCCACCCACTCCATCCCCACCCCCAGCCACTCTCCTCTTTGTGTTATATAACTATGTACCTCTTTAGGAAGAAAAGGTTTTTAGCTTTCATTAGCACAGCAGAAGGTTTTTCTGTTGCGTTGTACTGCCCAACCATTTCTGTTCTGACAGTGTCTCTCTTCTCTGAGCATTCCCTACCTCCCACCCTTGTTCCCGTCTGCCTTAACATCTTTCAGAAGCTGCCAGATCTGTCTTCCTGTGCTAATCAGCCAAAAGAGTAGCCATTGAGTTGATGGAGGCATTCTATCTCTCTTTTCACAGGCTTTTAGTACAAATTTCCTCACGTATATCATATCTCTAGGACAAGTTCCTATGAAGCAGTCACTAATTATTTCATGCTTTATTGTGTTTGTTTGCAGGTACAAGATTACCATGGGTCTAAGATCTGTGACCCCTATGTTTGGCTTGAAGACCCAGATAGTGAACAAACAAAGGTAATTGATGATATTTAAAGATGAGATTGTCTCAAAAAACATGAATCGACTATGGAGCTAGTGGCCAAGCCTTGGCATAAGAAATTCATATTCCTTTTTTGTATCTTTCTTTTTTTCCTTCTTTACCTTTCCTATCTTTTTTGGTTCCCATTTTAGGAGCCTTTGAGCACCTGGCCAGTAGAGACATATGTAAATGAGGTTAATACTCTGACCAACATACTAAGATATAATCCTCAATCTCTCATCTAAATTATTCCAGTAACTCAGCAGTGTTAAATTATGCCAGTATAAGTGATTATTTGTAGGCTTGTGTGTGTCTGAGTGTGCGTGCTTAGTTTTTCCTTTACATTTAGTATGTTGCTCCAGTGGGTGATAAACTGAGATCCTTTCTCATGGATGAAGTCTTATCATTAGAGCTATGATGAATATGGAACTGAAAATAACAGGCAACTTGGGGTTGACAGCTACTAGTTGCAAAAGCCAATGGGATCAACAGTTCAAAGATATTATTTCTAGATTTTTCTTCTGAGTATTTATAGGAAAATATTTAGCAAAAGATAAAGTGAAGTCACCAGGCAGGAAAGCTAGAATTCTGGTGAACTCTCAGAAACATTGAATCTGCATTATTGTTCCTGTATTTGAAAGGCAAACTCAAAAAACTGTTTTTCCCAATGCCATTTTATACATGCAAGTAATATTAAGATTGCTTAGAGTTCTAAGTGGACCATTCTTCCTTCTTTCTTTTTTTCCTTTTTTTTTTTTTTGGTTAGGCAGTGGAGTTAAGTGACTTGCACAGGGTCACACAGCTGGTAAGTGTTATGTGTCTGAGGCCGGATTTGAACTCAGATCCTCCTGACTCCAAGGCCAGAGCTGCCCCTAAGTGGACCATTCTTTTGAAAATCTTTCTCCTAGAGGGAGAAAATGAAGGTATTCTTCATTTTCATTACAGGATGCCACAAAACAGCTAAAGTTTTTTCCCGGTGGATGTTTCACACAATCCAGTGTATCTGTTGCATTGTTGTGATGAGATACTCATAGTAGCATCTGAATAACATTAATAGACTTCATCAATAACTTGCAAACACCTACCCCATTGTATTTTCTTTGTGTAGAGCAAATAAGGAAAGGAATAGGCATAGTGGACATGCAAAAGACCATGTCTCTTTTGCCCTTATGTTGACTTTAATGTATTTTATACATGTTTGTGGACTACATATTTTCAAGCTGTAAGTTCATAGGCCCAGATCCTGGACTGTGGCCTGGTCAGTACGGTCACTTCAGCATATTGGCCCCAGAACCACTCCATGGGCTGAGCCAGATTTACTTTAATTGAGGGGCGAGACTGAAACCACTTACCAACTTAGGAGGAAATTTAGGTGTAAGGTGACTTAGCTCTCTGCATTATTACCAGGAATAACCTGTATTTACTAAGTGCTTTAAGTTTTACAGAGTGCTTTCCATAAAACAATTCAGTGATGTTACCTCTTCAAGGATTATCTCCATTTGAAATGTTATTATACTGATTTTCATGGGGTTCAGTGACTTTGGTAGGTTTTATAGTTATTATCAGAACCAGGATTCAAACCTGCATCTCCAGACCTCATTCAAGTCTGGCTCTCCTAGACCCTTTTTTCCCATTTTACAGATGAGAGAACTGAGGCTCCAAGAAGAGGAGTGACTTATCTGATGTCACCAGACCAGGGCTAGAACAGAGGTCTTGGTTTCTTGTCATGCCCAACATAGTGTCTCTTTCTGTAAATAGAAGTTTAGCTGAACTGGTATAAGCTTACTGGGATCTGGTGCAATAAAGCTTATTAAGACTAGAGAAGTTTTGCTTTTTATGAAATGAAGAAAATTTATTCATTCCTCCAACAAGCAATAATCAAGTGCCTACTATGTGCCACATGCCGTGCTTGGTGCTGGACATCAGCCAGTAACATGAAGTCTTTCCCACTGCATAGTTGAAAAGGTCAGGCAAAAGTGTGTTAGAATCTTTACATCCTCTAAGCACAAAGAAAAATCTCCCTTCACATATGTTACTGGTGTCAGTAAAAAAAAAAATTAAATGAATAGGGTTTTTTGTCACTGAATTCTGAGAACCAAAATGCTTACATAGTAGGATTTTGAATTTGAGTTGTCTAGCTTATCTACAAGGTCTAACATTTCCAGAATAAAGGAAAGTTTTGGCCTCAAAAGACAGTGGAAACATGAAGCCTGATTCACCAAGAGCTTGTCCATGTTGTCATCAGTTTGCTTTTGGCAAAGTTGAACCTCAGAGTAACATTGGGATTTTCCCAGAGTCAGACATCTGTTCCAGCTACGAAATCATTGGCCATCCCACTCCTCCCGCTCACCGGCAACCATTGAGCATGAGACGCTGTTAATAAATGGTTGTTAAAAAGAATAATAGCTAATAGCACATTTATAGAGGACTTTAAGCACTTTATACACATTATCTCATGAGTTTCTTACCACTGCTTTGTGGTCTAGATGTTAAAGGTATTCTTATCCCTGTTTTGCAGATGATGAAACTGAGACTCAGGTTAAGTAACTTGCCAGTATACAGCCAATAAGTGTCCTAGATAGATTGTGGGCTCAGGTTTTTTCTTGGTCCAGGCATAGCACTTGTTCTACTGTATTATGCTACCTCTGATCATAAATCTCTCAGTTACCAGCTAAGTCTTGGTATTTCTAAAGAGAAGAATGCCGTATCAGCTTTGTAGCATTGGAAGCTTGAGATTAATGGGTAACTGAATTACCTCTCCCCTTCCCATTTTCCTATCCCCACCCCCTTATAATCACCATTTTTCCTTCCTTTGACATTTACATGCTTCCATCCTTCTTGAGGGGGTATGTGGTCTGATAAGAAGAATCCTGAATTTAGAGTCACCATGCTTGTGTTCAGGTATAGGTTTTGTTACTTTAGTAGTTATGAACATGGACAAAGTGATTAACTTCTCTAAGATTCAGTTTCTTAAAAAAAATTTTTCAAGTAACAAATATTTTTTTAAAAATAGTCTGTCCCTCCTACTATCCTTTGGCCATACTGAGCAAATTAAAAAAAAAAAACGCAAAAAAACAACAAATCATTAATCCCCAAACAAATTCTTCAGTATATTTCTATTTAGTACCTTAAAACAAATCCCCATGTTAGCCAGGTCTAAAAATATATATATCTCTTTCTCCACTTGGTATGTTTCCTCTTCATTCTTTTGATTCATGGTTTATCAGTTCATTGATCATAGTTCTAAAGCCTTTCAAAGTTGTTTTTCTCATTAATGTTCTTATTGCATAAATCATTCGGCTAATTCCACTCACCTTGCTCAGCATCATTAAGACTTCCTCTGAAATTGTCTGTTTCATCATTTCTTAGAGCACAATAACAGTCCTTTACATTTATATACCACAGTTTATTTAGCCATTCCTCAATAGGAGGACAGCACTTCAGTTTTCAATTTTGGGGCTGCCACAAAAAGAGCTGCTATAAATATATTTGCACATATAGATAATTTTCCTCTTTCTTCTGTTTCTTTGGGGTAAAGTCCTAGCACTGGTATATCTGGGTCAAAGGATGTGCAAAGATTGGTGACTCTAAATATGGTGCTTTCTTAGAATGGATGGACCATTTATAGCTCCAGCAAGATTGGTGCTAGTGTACCTGTTTTCCCATAGCTCCTTTTATTCTTTTTGTTGTTTTATTCTTTTGTGTTCTGATAGGTCCTCTTCTCTAAAAATGAAATATTATAACTACCTGTCTTTCAGAGTTGTTACGAGGAAAGTATTTTGTCCATCATATAGTGCTTTGCGGATGTTGGCAGTTTTCATTTCCTGATCAGCTTCCTTCTTGGTTATCTTTGCTTTTTTCCCTCTGTTATTAACTTCTTTCGACTATTACCCCTACTTAGGTTTTCATGCCAATCTATTTCAGTTCCATTCTTCTCCATTTTAGTTTTCCCCTTTGCTAGCCTATTCTTGTGTTTCCTGTCAGACCTCTTTTGTGAGTAAACTTACCTTTATTCACACTCTTTTTTTATGTGGATTCCATTAACTGCTTTGCTTTAAAGCCAAATATGTGATTCAGAGTTAGAAGCTAGCTTAGCTTAGAAATCACCTAGGACAAGGCTTTTTTTGTGTTAATGACCCCATTGGTAGTTTGTGAAGCCTATGGATCCATATTTGTTGCCTACATTCATAATTAAAGGAAATTCTAAATTTCAGTTAGAGGTTAGTGAAAATAAAGTTGTCATATTTTCCCCTGTCCAACTTTATGGACACCTTGAAATATATCCTTGGACCCTATATTAAGAACCCCTGCTCTGTGTTGAGGAAATCAAGACTTAAAGAGGTGAATTATGATCACATAGGTATAAATAGCAGAGATAAATTTCAAACTAATAAATACCACACTCTTTCCTTTATACTACAACACTCTGACTTTACCCAGATAATACCATAACTCATGAGGTCTTCTCCAGTGGAAAGCTTTTTTTCCCCTTGATCTTTTTGCCTCAATAAGAGATAAGGTGGAGCTAAAGCAGAGATGTGCCATTGTATCTTGTCTTCTTATCATGTCTTAATTTAAAATAATTTTTATTGTAATATTTTGTTTTTATATCACCTACATTTTCCAATGTATCCCTTCCCTCCTCTCCCTTTTGAAGAGAGCCATCCCTTATGAAAACAAATAAAAGGGAAAAAAAACCAGTTTGAAGCGAACATATTTTAAAAATCTGACATCATACGTAGAACCTTTTTTTTTTTGATCAGAAGTATTATCATCTTGCCAGTCACTTGGCTTGAAGTATTTCTTCCCTTTATCCAGTCAGTCAGGCTGGAATCAAGCATTCATTAAGGTACTGAGCTGGGGATACAAAGAAAGGAAAAAAAACCAAAACAAAAAACCAGTTCCTCCTCTCAAGGAACTCACAGACTAATTAGGTAGTCATCTAGTCCTATTGATTCCTCTTTTATATCATTTCTTGTGCAATGAAAAGAATACT